GGGGGCGCCAGTGCCCATGCCCCCCGCGCATGCGCGGCTGCTCCGCTTTTCCCTCCGCCCCCCTCCCCCACGCACGCGCGTTTGGCCCTCGTGCTTCCTCAGGGCCCAGGTTGGCTCGCTCTTAAAGGGCACCGCACCCATGTATGGGCTTGAGCTGGGGAGGGAGGATAACACTGCACAGCCTGCAGCCCTAGTGGAGACCCCCCCATGGTCGCTGTCATTTACAGGGAGGGGGGATGGGTTGGGTGGGATATTAGGAGTTGCACTGCTCCAGGCAGCACCCATCTGCCATGGCTTGTCTGCAAGGGGACGGAGGCACCTCATGCCAAGGCATCCTTTGCGATGGAGCCGCAGCACAATGCACCACTGGCCTCCCCTATGGGGCCATTGCCCAGTCTCACCGCAAGGTGCCGCAGTACCGCCCTCACCCCCTGGCACTCCTGCCTTCCATTTGGCACTGTAGTGCCCCGCCACCACCACCTCACACGACAGCACCCTGGCCACGTTGCCACGGCGCTCCCTTCCACTGACCCTCATTCTTCGCCCCAAGACACCCCCACCCTTTGCCTCACATCACAGCACCCAGTCTGTGGCCCCAGTGCGTGCCTCACCTGATACGCTGACCCCATCACGCACCCCGACACCCCCACCTCATGCTGCGGTGCCCTCCCCTCTTGTATCTGGAACCAGTTGCCCTCCGTGAAGACTGGATGCAGGTCACCAACCTTTGTGGGATTTCCTCAGGTGGTAACCTTGTCACAATGGCCAAGCTGTTCATCAGTCTCCATTGGAGTCATGCTTGAAGTGACCTCTTGGTATCATGACATTACTCTTATAGACGGTATGTATTTGTTTATTTAAGAAGAAGCTGGTAGGTTAAAAATAATCCATTCTTACAAGCAAATTTCCTCCCCTATGTTGCTAATAACATTTGAGTTCATTAGCACTGAAAAGAAGTTGTTTATCTTTCATCTCTGAGGCAATCTGTTTTTATTATTAATATTTATACTACAACCGAGCCCCGAGGTGCATCTCTCCCTTTCTGGGTTCAGCACCCCATTGTTCTAGAGGCAAAAGTAGATTCAGTTCCTACCTCAATGCACTACTTATTTGAATTTCACTTGGATGGGCCAGTTGTGCTAGATTAATCAGTTTTGCTTTTTTTTTTACAGTACCCAGCCTATGTCAGTCACTAATAATACTATCATAATCAGTTTCTAGCTGATTTCACTTTTCGTCTCTGTTATGCGCAGAGTGCAAATTTGCAGAGGACAGTTTTCATTGGAGTTTTCATAATTTTGCACAAATATTTCTATTGGTCAGCAAAGATCTATTTCTACAGAAACTAAGGCCTCAGTCCTGCAAAGAGGTGCATACGTTTAACTTTAAGCACATAAGAGGTCTAATATTTTTTAAGTACACAAATAGTCCCACTGATATTAAGTTAAATTTAGTCATATGTGCAAATCTTTACAGGATCAGGACTTAAATCATAATGGTTTCATCTCCGTGGTATCTCCCACTAATAACAAGACATATGTCTTTCAAAAAAGCATGAAGACTGTACCTCCTTCATGATACAGATTGTCATCAGTTTTTACCTGGAATCTTGTCAAACACATAGTCAGCACCAAAGGATAATAAATATGGACAACATAATCCCAGTTGTCTACTAGTTAAATCATCTAATTGTTAATTAATGTTTTTATTAAATAGAGCAGTCTTCATTTCCCATCCTAGCTAATGTGCACTACTCTAGAACAGCTGTTAAACAGCATCCACATTCTTTGCCTTAGATAGCTAAATTTCAGTGGAGGTCGAACTGATCTCTGCTTAAACTATATCCTTCCCTTCCTACCCTAAACTATTGTGTCTTCTTGTGATTTGTTATGAAAGTGCTGTCAAATCTCTCTCTAGAAGGGGCTGCATTCTAGTGATAGTGAAGTATTTTCTGCCTCTAATAATAATTAATAATAAAGTATTAATAATACCTGTTTTTTCATTGTTTTTTATGAGTTGTTCAGCACACAACTACAGGAACAATAAGCATTTTCTTCTTGTGTTTTTCTCATCAAAGAAATTAACCGGGGGAGGTGAGGAAATGTCAGCATAAGCCCTCCAGAACTGATGAATGTAAAAATGAAAATGCATTCAAAACACTTGTATTTTTGTTAGCAGTAGACCCTCTCATTCAAATTGAATGTGACAAGACAATGTGCTATTAACAAATATGCCTGATAAAAGATTTTCTTGTATAACTACAGTTTTACTGAAAGTGAGGTTTATTATTTTGTGAAATAATCTCCCTCTGGAAGTAATGAAAACCATGTCATCTGAGATATTTAAAACTAAATCCGGCAGAACACTGGAGCATAGATTCTGAAGTCCAATCTTGCATTAACTCTTGTTAGGAACAGTGTATGCAAACTGACGTCACAACTTGGCTTAATCTTGCACCTAACATTAACCATGATTGTATTAAAACTGGTATATGAGCTTGTGTATATGAGAAGCTCTGTTCTTCCAAAAATACTCCAGAACCTGCTGCTCAATTACAGTAAAATGCTAGCTTTACACACATTTGGACACTTATTTTGGTTTACGTTTTGGTTTTGTTTAGCTCAGGCTTGTTCTTAATAAGCCCTTTTTCAACTACGCTCTGTTTCAAATGAAATCAGTGTTTCCGCACAGCCTTTGATACTGGTTTAACAGTCTAACATCACACCTGAAGTAAACTGTGTGCAACAATATATAAGTAAGATTTTTACCAATGGAGTGGAGTGAAAGTTCTAAATTAAATTATATTAGTACATATCAATGGTCTTTCACTGTTCTTCTAATGAATCATCACTCCATTATTAGTAATATTTCACTCCATGTGCTCATATGCCACCCAATTAAGTTCTCTGGAATATAGTATTTTCCACCTACCATATAAATGCATTCCACTACTGCCTCTTGGTCCTTTGCTCTAGGGGTCAGACCAACACATGGGAGTGTAAAGGTATGTTTACCTTGCATTGTAAGCCCAAGTCTCTGAAGTCTGCTTGTGAATTCTGTGTTTCCAAGCTCACACTTGAGCATCTTCACTGCACTATAAACCTGGGTTTACAATTGCTAAAAACAAGTCTCATAGCCTAGCTAATGCACCTAAGACTTTCTGACTTCAGTGTGTGGCTTGAGCTGGATCCACACTGCAAAATGACAGGGCTTGGACTTGAGCCACAGAAAGATTCAAGCTCTGACCCACACCAAGAGCAGGATCCTAGCACCTGAGTCCTGACAGTGCTTGCTGACCTGAGTCAGATGGATTTTGTGTGTGGATGGAAAGGAACTTGGGCTCAAATCTGAGCTGGAGCCTGGACTCAATGTGCTATGAAGCTATACAGGGTGAGGAATAAGTAGCCCACAAGCCAGACGCAGTTCACCAGAGTTGGCTGTTGGTGGGCTGCCAGACCCTTTATTTACCGCCTGCATGCAGCTCCCATTGGCTGTGGGAGCTGCAAGAAGTGCTGTGGTTCAGGTCACGCTTTCCCACAGCTCCCATTGGCCAGGAATGGTGAACCGTGGCCAATGGGAGCTGCGAGTGCCTGTCTGCAGATGCGCAGGTGAATAAAACATCTGGCAGTTCTCCATGAGCTAATCCTGGGGAACCACATCTGGTCTGTGGCTGTCTTATTGCCCACCCCTGAACTGACAGATAGAGTTGATAGAGGTGGGTTAAGTGAAGTAGACAGTATCCCATGGCAAAAAGCTAAAATGGCATCCATTGATTCCCACTCTTGGTGCATCTTCTATAAAGAGGAATGAAAAGGAACAGGATTACTCTTGTAAGGGCTGCTTCCCACTGGTAGCAACCACACACAAAACTGATAATGCCTGCTGAAAATGCAAAGTTTGCATGTTGAATTAGATGCCCACAAATCAGACATCAGATATCTTCACAAGGAAAAACCAGTTGCTTTTCATTTCAACCTACCTGGAC